TTCATATCTCCATTATTATTCCAAAATATTTTCTCCAGTAATTCATCATGTTTGATATAATTATATACCTAGATTTTCCCCAATTAACTTTCACTCTTGTCCTCATACGCATGTGCCTTTGGATTTTTGATTTTGGACCTTTTGCTACAGTTGATAAAAAAAAAAAAAAAACTGAATGTTGGACATATTTAGTAAATAGAAGTGTGATCTTAATGATTAAGAGCATGATTGTTTATAAAATATTTCATCCAAAATATTTCATTTTGGTTAACTATGGTTAAAGTTGAAAAAGTAGTGTGGTTAATTATTAATGGGATTTAAAAAATATACAGTATTAAAATAATATTTAAAATAAAATAATTAAAATTGATTTGATATAAAATAGGAGATAAATGATTAAAAATGATTGGTAGTTAAAATCATGTGAGTTGATGAATAGTGAATTAAAATTGATGTGATGTGTAAGAATAATTGGTTTGTATTATTTAATTATATGAATAATATTAAAGATAGTGGGATTAAGTTAAAGTTGAGTTAGATTTTGAGTTGAAATTTATTAAGATGAAATATTTTGTAAACAATCACCCCCTAAACTGTACTGTTGAGAGTAGATGACAATATAACATACGAATTAGAAACAAGAAAGTAAACAACACAAGATTTACGTGGTTCGGCAATATGCCTACGTCCACGGCGGCTGAGGGATCTTTATTATTCTCGATAGTCACAAATACATCAATACACCATATATTTATACTAAAACCCTACAAGGTATAAATTTACTTAAATACCCTGTACCGTACCGCGGGGGCTCTGCCCCCGCACCCCCATCTATACCGCGGGGGCTCCGCCCCCGCAACCCCGACCCAACTATTCGACCCAGCCCAACAGGGGCTGATCCGCTTCCCTTGCTACGTTCGCTCTGTTACGCTCGCAAGCATCAGTCTGTCCCCTTCCTTTGTCAATATATGAGCCATACCAACATGTACATAAACCATGATTGAGATAGTCATTAGTCAAATTTTTTTATCTTTTTGGCTCAAGCAATATTTCTTTTTTTTTTTTTCTTTTGATAATTAATCACAAAGGCATGTGTTGATTAAATATGTGATACTATTTGGAACCTTTAATAACACCATTAGTTTAACCACATTCACAAGACTTGTACCTAATCCGATAGAAAAATGGTTGATTAGATTAATTGAGTGACACTAAAGACTCCTTTAATAATTGAAATCATTCAATTATTTCATGCTATTTTCAATAATTACATACATATAATAGTAATATGATTACAATCTATGTATTGTAAAATCCATATATTACATGGATGAGATGCATCTTTCCCCAAGTAAGTTAAAAACAAAAAAATAAAAAGTAATGGCATTCGTCAAATCGTTATATATGTCACTACTGGAGAATTTCCGGAGCCTAGTGTAATTTTTTTTTTTTTTTTTTTCATAATCCTTGGACTTCTCTATCCATGTCTATTAAGACTTTTTAAATTTTAAAATATTTGATAAACTTAAATAATAAATATACTTCAAGTTTAGTAAATTTTGTATTTTTCGATCAATTAACTTTTGCATTTGTTATCAACTTCCTAGATATGGTATATCAAATAAATAATCATTTCTTGAAGAGATTCGATTAGATATACAAATTGCATATACAAAACAATAAATAGCTAAATTTACTTTTACAGTAGAAATTACTTTATTTGTAATCTGATATAATATATTGTAAAATTACTTACGTTTTGTCAATTTCTGGTTGATAAATTTGTGTATGGGCTCAGCTGAGATCTAACTTATGGACAGCCATACATACTCTTAGAATTTGTAGGTAGCCAGCCGATGCTATATATACCCACAACCTTAAATAGAAATACTACACCTATTTTCTAAAGAAAAATGTTTATTTTACAAGAAAATGTGATTCTGCAAGATGAATTTATAATTGTGTGAAGCTGCACTTCACATATGACATTTCACAGCCAAATGCAAACATACTTCATAGTAGAATTATCAATACTCTTCAACTTTCGGGCACGAAATAGATAAACTCTGGCCCTTTTTATGATCGGAATCGGATGATCCCATGCAACAATGATTTATGATCGGAATCGGATGATCCCATGCAATAATGAGACGAACTCAAAACTATTTACCGAAAACAATCTCACACAAATCTATTGCGGTAATGAGTCTAATTTACCATTATGTCAAGTTAGATAGGTTAATAATGTAGGCCTGTGGGATTTACAAATGATAATGTGTAGAAGATTCAATGCGAAATATGAAAGCGTATCAAGAAATGACCAAAAATACAGACTATCAGTTAGATATAAACTCACCTTTTATTTTCTGCCATTTTTCTGAGTCTGGGTCACAAGGTCACAATTATTTCTGATATCCACAGTGTGATAATCCAGTGATCATGATGCTTCAGGCCCACGCGCTTTATATGAATAGCTTCCCCAATTTACTATGAAAGCCCAATAGAAAAATCTGGCCCTTTCTACTTGAATGCTGATCTGTTGGGCCGTACCATATTGATAGCCAGTTATGCCCAATATATATAACTCAAAATAATGACAACTTACACAAATTAGCCCTGAAAGATAGAAACAAAACAACTCAGACGCACAATTTTTAAATCGGAATTTGCTTGCTTGCATAATGAACCAACACTAGACATGCATTTTTGTTCGAAAAAAGTAACAAAGCTTAAGCTCAACGCTTTTAATAAAATAATATAATAACGCGTAATGATGATATCAAACAACGTAAAATTGATTCATGCTAGACTTAACTCGATATGTTTGCAGTGGTTGACACATGACCAACGCGGAAAAAGGATGACCGACAAAATTCCACGATTAGCAAAACGTGATGGCCACACTTGAGTTATGATCCAAAAGGTGAGGATTTCTAAATGAATCTATAACTATTTTATCAGCTGTGGATACTAGCATTTGTAAGGACTTGCAGTTCACACCATGATTGTCTACTTAGTCACTTTGTCCAACAAAAAGAGAACACTTTGCTTGTTTTGTAGCATTTTGTACCATAGTTACAGCTTCAATGGGGCCATGCGCATACGAATTCTAATTGACCCAGTGTCTGTTTTGTCTACCTATTTTATTTACATAGCTGCAGCAATAATAGATCTAAAAGCCATTCAGCAGATAAAAAGAACAAGAAACTTACGAATAAAGTGGCTACGCCTTTTTAGCTAACCTTGTACCTCCAACAGTAGCTATCTGCCAAGAGGATTGCAAAAAAAAAAAAAAAAAAAAAAAAGCTGAATCAGACTATGAGCAATGGTCTGTTTGAAAGAAAAGGTGCCGCAATAAAAACTGCATCAATACACGTAATTGTTGAATAAAGAATAAAAGTTTAAATTGCAGTACGACTTGACAACTTTCATCTCACATTTGCAACAACAAGATACGACTAAACAACTCCCAGTTAACAACTCCCAGTTAGTAGTTACCCATTTGTAAGCTAGCATCCCGAGAGTATCTCCAAGTAGAGTAGGATATTGGCAAACAACAATTAGCACAGGTAATATAGAGTTTCGAACGGTAGTATACTAGTAGTCTATATATAGAACTTCACAATTCAATACTTGATGGTGTAAACGAGCCGAGCGAGCTAACGAGCTTATAATCGAGCTCGAGCTCAGCTCGTTTATCACATTAACGAGCCAAAGTCGAATCGAACTATAGAAAAATACATAAAAATAATCTTTTCAAGCCATAACGAGCCTTATCGAGCCGAGCTCACAAAGGACTCATTTAATTCAACAGCTCTTTTGCCCGAGATATTTTGAGACGGTATAAAATCCACTGTTTTAGAGCATGCTGCAATGAGTGCGGCAAAACTAAAATATGGGTTAGAAATTGCTGAAAAAAGAGCTATATAATGGCCAAGAATAAAAGCCAAAACTATATGCAATTTTAGTGAGAATTAAAATCTGCAGACCATTACACCCACCATCTTCACTGATTGCACATTAAACCATGCGCAACTTTAAAAACACCGCCACTGAACTGGCAAAATTATAAGCTAACACCAACACTTTAAATGAGATTAAACAAGATATAGGAAAATGATTTGCTAACACATTTAGTTCACGTAGATGAAACCGTTGAATACAATACAAGCAGGAAACAAAAGCCTTGCATTTCCCATTATTCACGAGTATTCTCAAACAGCAGTGATAACTACAAGGAAATCAAATATATATAATATAAGGAACCAGAGACAAATCAAGTACCAACAAGTTAGTATATTCACCATTATATACGGAAGTATAGGTGCCGCCTCGACATTCAACAAGCTGAAAAATAGTCATACGTGCAACATAACTTTAGTCCAACACATCACATAACTTTGCAGCAATAAACAAACTCCTCGGGGACATTCTAAAGCATAATTTGCCAACTTGCCTAGTAAATTAGTGAAAGTTTACAACAATCCATGTGTACAAGTGTTTCTGATGTATGTTTCAGTTCCTATCCGACGCATAAAAATTGGTTCTTAGCCTCTAATACCACCATTAGAACGCTAATCAGACATACATAAAAGTTATCAGCCCGGAAGGTGAGGAATATGAGGATCACAATTAGAAAAAAAGGGGGAAAAAGAAGAAATGTGCTGCACCTGTTTGACCCTACCTTGGGTAAATATAAGTTTCAAAAGGCCATAACTAGTGCCTAATTAGACCGTGCATCATTTTAACTTGTACTGGAAAAATTTTCTGTAGCATAAGCAGTGTCCATGGACAGATCCTATCATAAACGTACTGGATAACCATCTCACATGTCCTGGTAAATAAAAAGAGTTGCATTAAGCACATGATATGAGTCAAATCACCAGTAGCAAGATTCACAGTTGACAAGCTATTTAAGTTCAAATCAATAGCCACTGTGTAACCACCTTCCACCTAAAATAAACTAAAAATAAGAAGTAAAAGAATGATATTGAGGTTTAGAACCCAAAAAAAAA